TAAAGAGCTTAAGAAAAGGCAAGTTGTGAGAAGGTCAGTTGACTTGTTGAGGTTATCTACAGTACAGTCTCCCTCCCTTCAATTTCTTTTCTATACATGCATTCAGACCTTGATATCTCCTTTACCCCATGTGGGCTGTACATGTCATGAGCAGGTTTCCGGGGGATTTTTTAGTCCTTGAGGTGTCTGAGAGATACACATATGACCTTTGTTATGAATTATGCCAAGAAACATCAAGAACTTTTTTCATCCTTGTAAAGATAATGAGGGGTTGTTATGACCAGAGCCCAGATACGAGGGTTGTCTGGCAAATCTGACTGAGAAACACTGACCTTTAATGATATCAGCTTAAAAACAAAATTATTATTAGAGGGATGTCTCAACTATCAATATTTTGACAGTTTTTATTTTGTTTTGTAACACATATCCTAATATTCTACTAATTACATTTATTTTTCTAATTTATGTAGATGTTCTAGTTATTGGAAATCTTTGGCTATTTGTCATAATTTTATAAAAGCCTGTGGTGTGTGTGTGTTATAAAAGAACACAAATTAGTACATTTAGATTAACTAATTTATGTAAATGACTACAATCACCACCCGAATAAAACGTTTTGATCAAATTAGTGTATTTGCATAAGTTGAGATCATGACAGTTGATGTCTGATTAATATTTATTAAATGTGGTAAAGTTTGTAGTAAATATATGGAAAAATTAGCCCTACTATTATAAAATTATGATAAGGTTAAATATATCTTTGATTTGTTATAAACAAAGTACATAATAGTTTTCAACACTTAAATTCTAAGGTTAAATCCTAACATTCTAAGGTTAGGAGACCAGTGCTGAACAGTGTTAGATACAATGACATTATAATCTTGTTAGGTTTGTATTCAATATTTCTGTAAACACAATCTAAAATACATTTTCTCTACTACTATAAATAGCACACTGCTTGTATGGCCTACCAGACTGATTGACAATACAAGAGCTACTGAAAAAGGAAAACTTTTTCATTCATCAGATGTAAATAGCTGTTTGAACTTCATTCTAATTCTAAAAATGTAAAATTTAAAGCTATAATTTAAAAATGTTGAAAGAACACTGTAAAAGAGGAATTTTTTTTCAAATAATTTTGATCGTTGTCATGATCCAGGTTTGGTACAGAGCTAATCAGACGATCCAGGTTTGGTACAGAGCTAATCAGACGATCCAGGTTTGGTACAGAGCTAACCAGACGATCCAGGTTTGGTACAGAGCTAACCAGACGATCCAGGTTTGGTACAGAGCTAACCATACGATCCAGGTTTGGTACAGAGCTAACCATACGATCCAGGTTTGGCACAGAGCTAACCATACGATCCAGGTTTGGCACAGAGCTAACCAGACGATCCAGGTTTAGTACAGAGCTAACCAGACAATCCAGGTGTGGTACAGAGCTAACCAGATGATCCAGGTGTGGTACAGAGCTAACCAGACAGTAGGATAAATTTTATTGTTGATAATTGTCTTTTGTTACCAGAAATCATTTTAGGAATACCGTTGTGATTAAATTCTCACCTAAAACCTTCTCTATGTAATCTTTCTGTTTTCTTGAATGTAGAACACATTGTAATTTTGCAGGTTCTGGTGACCAGAACATTAAGCCAATATTTTGATTAATGGTTCATGGTAAAATAACTAAGAAATGTATTTCCTTTAACCTCGGTTATAAATATTAACTCAAATTTCAAATAACAGGTATAACTTACTCAGTGGTTATGAAAACTAAGACTATATTAATCAACTCGATAATTGTATTATTTTTTTTATTGTCTAGGCTGCCAACACACGAAAGTATTTTGCCAGAAATGTCTACATACATACGATTATAGAAACTGTCAACTTCATCATAGTGCTAGTTATGTAGTGGACATAGTTAAATTCCGTCTTCCAAGCTTGAGGATATGAAGATTGCAAGCTGAAAGTTGTACAGAAATAGATGTGTAAACATGAATCACTATAAAGGCAAAAGAAAAACAAAGACATCAACTTACCTTTCAAATGGAAGAAACATGGAGGATAAAAATGTAGATTATTTACAAGGAAAGGGAACTATATCAAAACTGTTTCCTCTTTTTGGATTTATTACAATTGAAAATACATGTGATGAAACAGTTTATTTTGATGCATTCTGTTTTGAAGATGGTAAAACAGAAAAACTTTTGGATTTACCACTTAAGGTAGGACAGGAAGTAACTTTTCTTGCAAATAAGGGATGTGATGGTAGTAATGCAAAGTATCGTGCTTACCGTGTATGGAGACCCGAGTACCATAAGATATTTAGTAGTGATGGTTTGTTAGGAAGGAAGTCTACATTTAGTTTAAGTAGCAGCAGCAATCTCTCAAACGTCTCTTGCCAAGACTCGGATATATTGATAACTGGTTCAGAAAAACCTAATTATTATACTTCAAGTACCTTTTCATCTTCTTCGACTGTGAGTGAAAAATGTGCATCAAATACTTGCCAAGAACCTAAGAAACTCACAGAACACAATGGGAAAATTTATCCTAAAGGGGAAAAAAAAGCCCAAATAATATTTGGAACACCAGAAGAATGTGTTTTGGTTATAAATGATATTGTTTTTTACAACCAAAATCCAGTTACAAATTTAATATGGCATATTGATGATGGAGAACGTGTTAATTTTGATGCAATTGAGACTGATAGTTTTCATGGTTTTCGTTGGATTGCCACCATTGTTTGGATAGGAAATCGACCAAAATGTTCCTTGACCGATGACCTTAAAAACAAAGATAATATGGAAAAATTAATTAAGAAATATTCGTGCATTTTTGAAAGCAAGTGTAATTTTTCCAGTTCATTGACATGTTCGGCAGATGAGAATAAAGGGTTTGAAAATAAAGATGCTGGTCTCTCAGTGAATGATGCATGTTCCTGTACTTCTTCAGGTTTCTCTGAGGATGAGAATGAAAACAATCATGTGAGCAACTGCCAAGTAGAAAACTCTTCAAGGTACAGGAAGAAGTCAAGGAGTGACTATGTTTCTGGTAGACTTCACAAGAAGTTTCAAAAAGAAAATACACAAACAATAAGAGAACAGTATTTAAATAGTAGCTGCAAGAAAGATCAGTTAGTCACATTCCAGAAGTTATCTGAAGGTGTATTAGATTTAAAAGAAAAATATGTTGAAGATGTATATGGGTTAAAAAAAGATGTTAAGAACATACCTGGGTTGACAGATGAAAATGTTAAGGATATACCTGGGTTAACAGAAGAAGAAAATGTTAAGGATATACCTGGGTTAATGGAAGAAAATGTTAAGGATATATCTGGGTTAACAGAAGAAAATGTTAATGATATATATGGGTTAACAGATGAAAATGTTAAGGATATACCTGGGTTAACAGAAGAAAATGTTAATGATGTATCTGAGTTAACAGAAGAAAATGTTAAGGACGTACCTGGGTTAACAGAAGAAAATGTTACGTATATACCTGGGTTAATGAAAGAAAATCTTAAGGACGTATTGGAGCCATCTGTGGAGCTGTTCCAAAGAGTGCTAAAGCATCATCCTAACATAGATGAAGCAGTTAGTGTGTTCTACACTATTACAAGCTGTAAAAGTGAAATAGCTCACAAACCACCCCTAACCAAATATAGCCCATTTATTGTAAACATAAATGGAGAAAATAAAATAGGGGAAGTTACTGAAGAGGCTAAATTAATAAAAATCAGAACTATAGATTTGAAACATAATACATCAAAAAGTAATGCTCAAAAAGTTAAGTGTCCACTTTTGAAAAATATTACTTTTGGAACTGGAACTGTGAAGAGTGTTAATGAATGTTTTGTCTGTTTGAACATAAAAGATTCAGTTGCACCTGTTTTTTTGAGTAAAATTTATGTTGATGGAAAAGAAGTGAGTAAAACTAACAGAAATTTGAAAAGTATTTTTAAAGAAAATGAACTTGTATACTTTTCTTATATACATGCTTTTTTGAGTAACAATTCCGAGTGGGCTTATGTATATCTTGTGTGGAAAGGACTAAAACCCAAACAATTTGTTGAGCCTACGGTAGAAGAGTTTCTTGAAAAGTTGGGGTTCAGGAACATTCTGTTGGGGAGCGAGATAATATCGCACCACAAACAAGAGGAACAAGACCACTGTGGACATAAAGGTTTACATTCTCAATTATTTTAACCTTTATTTCTTTGTGTTCATAGTAGCATATATTCAGCTTTACTTTACATTAGATTTTGAAAAATGTTCACTGACACATCAAAAACAATCTGTTTTTTATTTCACAACTTAAATAGAAGGATAAAAAAAGTCTTGATTAACTTATATATATATATATGTATATATACACACAACTGAATGTTTATCTGTTATTGGCAATCCTGAATGTTAAATTAGTTCATTTATAAACATAATACTTTTCCATGTGATAAAATCTTGAAACCTATATTAATAATGTTTGAATATTGAAACCTAGATTAATAATGTTTGAATATTGAAACCTAGATTAATAATGTTTGAATATTGAAACCTAGATTAATAATGTTTGAATATTGAAACCTAGATTAATAATGTTTGAATATTGAAACCTATATTAATAATGTTTGAATATTGAAACCTATATTAATGATGTTTGAATATTGAAACCTATATTAATAATGTTTGAATATTGAAACCTATATTAATGATGTTTGAATATTGAAACCTATATTAATAATGT